ACAGTAGCTGTATCAGCAGGAAGCTATTACGTCATGAATATTTACCAGTAACTGTCTCACCAGGAAGCTGTAACGTCTTGAATATATACAGCATAAGTATCACCAGGATGCTATGACGTCTTGAATATATACAGCAGCTATATCACCAGGAAACTATTAAGTCATAAATATACACATCGGCTATATCACCAGCAAGCTATAACGCAATGAATAATTACAGTAGCTTTATCACCAGGAAACTATGACGTCATGAATGTACACAGTAAATGTAGCACAAGGAAACTATGATGTCATGAATATATGCAGTAACTGTATCACCAGGAAATATTAACGTCATGAATATATACAGTAGCTGGATTACCAGGAAGCTATGACGACATGAATATATACAGTAGCTATATCACCAGGAAGCTATGACGTCATGAATATGTACAACAGCTGTATCACCAGGACGTTTTAACGTCATAGATATATATAGTAGCTGTATCTCCAGGAAGCTCTAACTTCATGAATATATACAGTAGCTGCATCAACAAGAAGCTACAACATCATTAATATATACAGTAATTCTATCACCAGGAAGCTATGACGTCATGAATATATACTGTAACTGTATCACCAGGGAGTTGAAACTTCATGAATACACACAGTGCCTGTATTACGAGACAGCTGTCATCTAATGAAGCTGTCATGTTATGAATATATACAGAAGCTGTATCACCATGAAACTATGACGTCATAAATATATACAGCAGCTGTATCACCAGCAACATATGACGTCATGAATATATAAAGTAATTGTATCACCAGGAAGCTATGAAGTCATGAATATATACAGAAGCTGTATCACCAGGAAGCTTGGATGTCATGAATATATACAGTAGCTGTATCACCAGGACGTGGTAACGTCTTGAATATATACAGCAGCTGTATCACCAGGACGTTTTAACGTCATGGATAATATTTCGTAGCTGTATCACCAGGACGTTTTAACGTCATGGATATATATTGTAGCTTTATCACCAGGACGTTGTAACGTGATGAAGATATAGTAGCTGTATATCCAGGAAGCTATAACATCATGAATATATACAGTAATTGAATCACAAGGAAGCTATGACGTTATGAATATATACTGTAACTGTATCACCAGGAAGTTGTAACTTCATGAATACACACAGTGCCTGTATCACAAGAAAGCCATGACGTCATGAATATTTACCAGCAACTGTCTCACCAGCAAGCTGTAACGTCTTGAATATATACAGTATAAGTATCACCAGGATGCTATGACGTCTTGAATATATACAATAGCTGTATCACCAGGAAGCTATAACGTCATGAATAGATACAGTAGTTATATCACCAGCAAGCTATTACGTCGTGAATATATACAGTAGCTGGATTACCAGGAAGCTATGACGACATCAACTGATACAGTAGGTATATCACCAGGAAGCTATGACGTCATGAATATGTACAACAGCTGTATCACCAGGACGTTTTAACGTCATGGATATATATAGTAGCTGTATCTCCAGGAAGCTCTAACTTCATGAATATATACAGTAGCTGCATCAACAAGAAGCTATAACATCATGAATATATACAGTAATTGTATCACCAGGAAGCTATGACGTCATGAATATATACTGTAACTGTATCACCAGGAAGTTGTAACTTCATGAATACACACAGTGCCTGTATCAGAAGAAAGATATGACGTCATGATTATATACCAGTAACTGTCTCACCAGTACGCTGTAACGTCTTAAATAAATACAGTATAAGTATCACCAGGATGCTATGACGTCTTGAATATATACAATAGCTATATCACCAGGAAGCTATGACGCCATGAATAGATACAGTAGTTATATCACCAGCAAGCTATTACGTCATGAATATACACATTGGCTATATCACCAGGAAGCTATAACGCCATGAATATTTACAGTCACTTTATCACCAGGAAACTATGACGTCATAAATGTACACAATAACTGTATCACCAGGAACTATGACGTCATGAATATATGCAGTAGCTGTATCACCAGGAAATTTTAATGTCATGAATATATACTTTAACTCTATCACCAGGAAGTTTTAACGTCATGAATATGTACAGTAACTGTATCACCAGGAAGCTATGACGACATGAATTTATACAGTAGCTATATCACCAGGAAGCTATGACGTCACGAATATATACCATAGCTAAATCACAGGAAGCTATAACGTCATGAATATATACAGTAATTGTATCATCAGGAAGCTATGACGTCATGAATATATACAAAAGCTGTATCACCAGGACGTTTTAACATCATGGATATATATAGTAGCTATATCACCAGGACGTTGTAACGTCATGAAGATATATATAGTAGCTATATCTCCAGGAAGCTCTAATTTCATGAATATACACAATAGCTGTATCACCAAGAAGCTATAACATCATGAATATATACAGTAATTGTATCACCAGGAAGCTATGACGTCATGAATATATACAAAAGCTGTATCACCAGGACGGTTTAACGTCATGGATATATATAGTAGCTATATCACCAGGACGTTGTAACGTCATGAAGATATATATAGTAGCTATATCTCCAGGAAGCTCTAACTTCATGAATATACACAGTAGCTGTATCACCAAGAAGCTATAACATCATGAATATATACAGTAACTGTATCACCAGGAAGTTGTAACTTCATGATAATACACATTGCCTGTATCACGAGAAAGCTATCACGTCATGAATATTTACCAGTAACTGTCTCACCAGGAAGATGTAACGTCTTGAATATATTCTGTATAAGTATCACCAGGATGCTATGACGTCTTGAATATATACAGTAGCTATATCACCAGGAAGCTATGACTTCATGAATATTTAAAGTAGTTATATCACCAGCAAGCTATGACGTCATGAATATACACAATGGCTCTATCACCAGGAAGGTATAACGGCATGATTATTTACAGTAACTGTATCACCTGGAAACTATGACGTCATGAATATGTACAGTAACTGTATCACCAGGAAGCTATAACGTCATTAATATACACAGTGGCTATATCACCAGGAAACTATGACGTCATGAATATGTACAGTAACTGTATCACCTGGAAGCTATAACGCCATGAATATTTACAGTCACTTTATCACCAGGAAACTATGACGTCATGAATGTACACAGTAACTGGATCGCCATGAAACTATGACGTCATGAATATATACAGTAACTGTATCACCAGGAAGTTGTAACTTCATGATAATACACATTGCCTGTATCACGAGAAAGCTATAACGTCATGATTATTTACAGTAACTGTATCACCTGGAAACTATGACGTCATGAATATGTACAGTAACTGTATCACCAGGAAGCTATAACGTCATGAATATACACAGTGGCTATATCACCAGGACACTATGACGTCATGAATATGTACAGTAGCTGTGTCACCAGGAAGCTATGACGACATAAATTTATACAGTATCTATATCACCATGAAACTATGACGTCATGAATATATACAGCAGCTTTATCATCAGGACGTTGTAACGTCATGAATATATAAAGTAAATGTATCACCACGAAGCTATAACGTCATGAATATATACAAAACTGTTTCACCAGAAAGCAATGATGTCATGAATATAAACAGTAATTGTATCACCAGGAAACACTGACGTCATGCATATATACAGCAGCTGTATCACCAAGAAGCTATAACAACATGAATATAAACAGTAACTGTATCACCAGGAATCAATGACGTCATGAATAGATACAGTAACTGGATCACCTGGAAGCTATGAATATATACAGCAGCTGTATCAACAGGACCAGGAGTACAACGTCATGAATATCTGTAATTTCTGTATCCTTAAGAAGCTATAACGTCATGCATATATGCAATAGCTGTATCACAAGGAAGCTATAATGTCACGAATAAATACAGTAACTTTATAAGTAGGAAGCGTTAACGTCATGAATATATACAGTAGCTGTATCACCAGGAAGCTCTGACGTCATAAATATATACAGTAACTGTATCACCAGGAAACTATGACGTCATTAATATATACAGTAACAGTATCACCAGGAAACTATGACGTCATGAATATATACAGTAGCTGTATCACCAGGAAGCTATGGCGTCATGAATATATGCAGTAGCTGTATCACCAGGAAATGTTTGTCATGAATATATATACTGTAGCTGTATCACCAGGAAGTTGGAACGTAATGAATATATACAGTAACTGTATCACCATGAAACTATAACGTCTTGAATATATGCTGCTGCTGTATCACCAGGAAGCTATAACATCATGAATATAGTTAGTAGCTTTTTAAAAGCAGGATTATAACGTCACGAATATATATAATGTCTGTATCACTAAGAAACTATAACGTTATGCATATATACAATAGCTGTATCACAAGGAAGCTATAATGTCACCAATAAATACAATAGCGGTATCAATAATGTCATTAATATATACAAGAGTTCTATCACCAGGAACCTATGACGTCATAGATATGTACAGTGTATGTATCATAACGTCATAAATATATACTGTAGCACCATCACATTAACTACAGTAAATATATCACCAGGGAGCTTTAACATCATGAATATAATCAGTAGCTTTTTCATCGCGGGATATAACGTCATGAATATATATAATTTTTGTATCATGAGGACGCTTTATTATACAGTAGCTCTATTACCGGGAGGCTATATCATATTTGCTCATACAAAAGAAAACATCTAAGACAACATTAAGTGAAGTCATTCTTTTCAAACGATCCCTTAAAATCCATTCCCTTGTGTGGCCGTTGCACGGTTGCTTTACCGGAAACCATCATATAACTGTAACACTTACCCCTCTTGACGACCCATACATATATACTAACACCACGTGTTACTGTCCGTGTGAGCTAGGATACAGAAGAGGTATACTGTGAAAATCACTCACCTTAGCATCCTATCACGCCTGCGGCAACAGATCGTCACTGACACCACGCTGCCAACCACCAAAAACAATAGCGATGTCAGTAGGGTAGCTAGTTGTATGCCACTGTGTCTTCTACTGGTGTCCTCTGTAAGTTTTAAGAAAATGGTTGTATTGGAGTTTCATATAGCAACATAACTGAACTGATTACAGATTTAAGCCACTGGTCAATCAGGAAGCATTGTAGTACTATAGTTACCTTGGTTGCAATGATCCACTCTCAGACATTCCGCTACAGAACAGTTGAACGTGCAGGTAGAATCACACGTTTGTCCAGTAAGGTGGCAGCCCATGGTGCAGGTACCAGTCTTCTGATCACAGACACCATCAAGACATATTTCACACGTGTGCTGGCAGAGTCCACCATAGAAGCCACGTGTACATCCGTCTGTACACTTCCCGCTGTCCGAGTGGCACATGTTGTGTCCACAGTTAGGGCTGCATGGGGAAGAGCACTGTGGACCAAACCATCCCTCCCGACATCCATGGATGCAATCTCCACTCGTCCTGTGACAGACACGGAAATCAGCCTTTGGTGAAAGGAGAAGGTTGTCAGTAGAAATGTTGGGGTCTGGTCCACACTTTTCACTGCACCTCTGCTCACAGAAAGTGCCATACAATCCAGGAAGACAGCCCTCTGCGCATCCATGTTCACAGGATCCCAGGCAATGATCACAGGAATAAGCACAGTTGGGACCAAAGTATTCAGGGTGGCACTCCTTGCACAATCCTGTCATCCTGTTGCAGGACTTACATCTACTTGAACACGTCTTACAGTCAGTCCCGTAGTAGGAGTCTACACATCCAGACACACAGGATGAACCCAGCTGACAATATCCTCCATCACACCCACCTGGACATGCTACACATGTACCTCCTGGACTGCCACAGTGTATGCTGCATCCAGGACCTTGATATCCAGGGACACAACCCTCAGTGCAAGCACCAATGCCGGAGCTTGACAACTGACAAGAGTGATTTCTGCAGTTCCTGCTGCATACTGAACTGCAGGTCTGATCAAAGTACCCAGGGTCACAGTCTCTGAGGCAATGTCCTGTACTTCTGTCACAGTCGGAACAATGCTGGTTGGACTTACACTTGTCACCTGAAATGATCATTTCAAAGTATATGACATGTAAACAAACATACTGTCATGTGACGCTTTTCTTGAATGAACATAAATTCAATATTCACTGTCGAGCAAAACCTGTTAGTGTCGAGGGTGTAGCAATACCATTCACTATCGAGGCTGTAGCAATACCATTCACTGTCGAGGGTGTAGGAATACCATTCAATACAGAGGGTGTAGCAATACCATTCACTATAGAGGGTGTAGCAATAACGCTCACTGCACACAGGTGTAGCAATACCATTCACTGTACACAGGTGTAGCAATACCATTCACTGTACACAGGTGTAGCAATATCGTTCACTGCACACAGGTGTAGCAATACCATTCACTGTACACAGGTACAGCAATACAATTCACTGTACACATGTGTAGCAATACCATTCATTTTACACAGGTGTAGCAATACCATTCACTGGACACAGGTGTAGCAATACCATTCACTGGACACAGGTGTAGCAATACCATTTACTGTACACAGGTGTAGCAATACCATTCACAGTACATAGGTGTTGCAATACCATTCACAGCACACAGGAGTAGCAATACCATTTACAGTACATAGGTGTAGCAATACCATTCACAGTACAAAGGTGTAGTAATACCATTCACAGTACACAGGTGTAGCAATACCATTCACAGTACACATGTGAAGCAATACCATTCATTTTACACAGGTGTAGCAATACCATTCACTGGACACAGGTGTAGCAATACCATTTACTGTACATATGTGTAGCAATACCATTAACAGTACATAGGTGTAGCAATACCATTCACAGTACACAGGTGTAGCAATACCATTCACAGTACACAGGTGTAGCAATACTATTCACTGTACATATCTGTACCAATACCGTTAAATGTACACAGGTGTAGCAGTACCATTCACTTTACTAAGGTGTAGCAATACCATTTACTGTACACAGGTGTTGCAATACCATTCACAGTACATAGGTGTTGCAATACCATTCACAGTACACAGGTGTAGCAATACCATTTACAGTACATAGGTGTAGCAATACCATTCACAGTACAAAGGTGTAGCAATACCATTCACAGTACACAGGTGTAGCAATACCATTCACAGTACACATGTGAAGCAATACCATTTACAGTACACAGGTGTAGCAATACCATTCACTGTACACAGGTGTAGCAATACCATTCACTGGACACAGGTGTAGCAATACCATTTACTGTACATATGTGTAGCAATACCATTAACAGTACATAGGTGTAGCAATACCATTCACAGTACACAGGTGTAGCAATACCATTCACAGTACACAGGTGTAGCAATACTATTCACTGTACACAGGTGTACCAATACCGTTAAATGAACACAGGTGTAGCAGTACCATTCACTTTACTAAGGTGTAGCAATACCATTCCCTGTTCACAGGTGTAGCAATACCATTCACTGTACACAGGTGTAGCAATACCATTCACTGTACACAGGTGTAGCAATACCATTCACTGTACACATGTGTAGAAAGACAATTCAATGTACACAGGTGTAGCAATACCATTCACTCTACACAGGTGTAGAAAGACAATTCAATGTACACATGTGTAGCAATACCATTCACTGTACACGGGTGTAGCAATACCATTCACTGGACACAGGTGTAGCAATACCATTTACTGTACATATGTGTAGTAATACCATTAACAGTACATAGGTGTAGCAATACCATTCACAGTACACAGGTGTAGCAATACCATTCACAGTACACAGGTGTAGCAATACTATTCACTGTACACAGGTGTACCAATACCATTAAATGTACACAGGTGTAGCAGTACCATTCACTTTACTAAGGTGTAGCAATACCATTCCCTGTTCACAGGTGTAGCAATACCATTCACTGTACACAGGTGTAGCAATACCATTCACTGTACACAGGTGTAGAAAGACAATTCAATGTACACATGTGTAGCAATACCATTCAATGTACACAGGTGTAGCAATACCATTCCCTTTACACAGGGGTAGCAATACCATTCATTGGACACAGGTGTAGCAACACCATTCACTTTACACAGGTGTAGCAATACCATTCACTGTACACAGGTGTAGCAATACCATTTACTGTACACAGGTGTAGCAATATCATTAACAGTACAAATTTGTAGCAATACCATTCACAGTACACAGGTGTAGCAATACCATTCACTGTACACAGGTGTAGCAATACCATTTACTGTACACAGGTGTAGCAATACCATTAACAGTACATAGGTGTAGCAACACCATTCACAGTACACAGGTGTAGCAATACCATTCACAGTACACAGGTGTAGCAATACCATTCACTGTACACAGGTGTAGCAATACTATTCACTGTACACAGGTGTACCAATACCATTCACTGTACACAGGTGTAGAAAGACAATTCAATGTACACAGGTGTAGCAATACCATTCACTGTACACAGGTGTAGAAAGACAATTCAATGTACACCGGTGTAGCAATACCATTCACTGTACACAGGTGTAGAAAGACAATTCAATGTACACAGGTGTAGCAATACCATTCATCGTACACAGGTGAAGCAATACCATTCCCTGTACACAGGTGTAGCAATACCATTCACTGGACACAGGTGTAACAATACCATTCACTGTACACAGGTGTAGCAATACCATTCACTGTACACGGGTGTAGCAATACCACCCACAGTACACAGGTGTAACAATACCATTCACTGTACACAGGTGTAGCAATACTATTCACAGTACACAAGTGTAGCAATACCATTCACTGTACACAGGTGTAGCAATACCATTCACTGTACACAGGTGTAGCAATACCGTTCACTGTACACAGGTGTAGCAATACCGTTCACTGTGCACAGGTGTAGCAATACCATTCATTGTACACAGGTGTAGCAATACCTTTCACTGGACACAGGTGTAGCAATACCATTTACTGTACACAGGTGTAGCAATACCATTCACAGTACATAGGTGTAGCAATACCATTCACAGTACACAGGTGTAGCAATACCATTTACAGTACATAGGTGTAGCAATACCATTCACAGTACAAAGGTGTAGCAATACCATTCACAGTACACAGGTGTAGCAATACCATTCACAGTACACAATCCTACACCAAGGATGAACGAATCTGTTCTCTCAAACGATGTTTTAACTGGACCTGGATCGACCCTACAGTCACATACAGGCACATCAGAAGAGATCTCCCAGCCTACAACAGACATAGTCTCAATATCTAGAATCAACGCTATGAAATCAAAGGACTCTAATTCAAATTGCTACGTTCAGAACCAAGTCGTCCAACGATCGCCTTCCAAACCAAGAAACTTAACCAGCAAAACTAACAGTAGTACAGGTGTTAATTTAATGTTCACTGGAATTAAGAGGAAAAGAGTTCTCAAACTAGTTCTATCACGAATCGAAGCGGACTCTCCATTCGACACCATTGAAAGAGCTATTGGTAACTACGCCTCAGATAATCATGTAAGAGTTACTCATATTCGTCTCATGAAAACATGGCGTGACAACCGCGGCAACAACACATCCTACACAATACAAGTAAACATTGATGCTGAAGATGCTGATAAAATAACTGTACTCTGTACTCTGTACTCTGCAGACAATATGTACCCAGATCCGAGATGAACCGTTCTGATAACTACAGGCCACGTAAGCAAGTTGAAGACTATTCACGTGAACGTGATGAAGATTGGCCACGGAACAACGATGAGGACTGGTCACGTGGTCGTGACGGAGTATGGTCACGCGATCCTGTAAGACAACGTAAACGATATTGGAAAAGTGATCACTAGGATATAACATATATTCACCATGAACATAAACTACATTTGTATCCTTCACATTTTAATGTGCACCCTTCGAATATCGACCTGGAATGTCAGGGGAGCTATGTATGGAACACCACGGCTCATCTCGCTTCTTTATAACAACGATGTGGTTGTTATTCCCGAACACTGGCTAAAAGCAGACAATCTCAACTATCTCCATTCATTGGATAATAAATTTAATTTAAGCGCAGTGATCTGTGATGATACCTGAGTCAGTAATCGTTGATCTGGAGGTATTGCTATTTTACTCAGGACATCAACAGAATACACAGCGAACCAAGTACCATCTGAAGATAATCACGTTGTGATAACAAGGATTGTTAAACCTACGTTTGAAGATTTATATGTACTTGGGACAAGGCTACCTTCAACTAATCGGACCACTAGCCAGTATAGAGACGCATTGGATGCACTATGTAACACTTATGACAAATATTCTTGTGTCGGAACATGTGTAATAGCTGTCGACCTCAACGCTGATATTAACCACTATCCAACTAGCCAAAGGACAAAGCTTCTAACGGAACGCCTCTTCAACGAAAGGAATATAATAACAACATCCTCTATCTGCCCTGAAGCGCCAAAAGCTACCTTTAGCTCCAAGGACAATACAAGGAAGTCAACTGTGGACTACATATGCGTCCCTGAATATGTGCGAGGCTACATAGATAGCTACAATGTCAATACTGATGTGTCATATGATGTTTCTGATCACTATCCGGTATGCAGCATACTTCGTATACAACGTTGCTCG